GGCAGGGGCGTTACCCAGCTGAAGGCCTCTTTGTGGCATTTGGGTTTCCATATGCTGCACTGAACAAAAACGTCTACTTACGTGCCAGGTGGGTGAAAAAGTACCCGGAATAAGCCACGGTAAAAGCCGTGAAAGCTGCAGCACACACTCCCTCCATGGCTGGAGCGGTGCTGCTCAATCTGCAAGGGACAAAGCCTGTAGGCAGAAAACAAAAAACCTCAGAGTCCTGCTGGCAGAGACCTCGTCGATCAGCAGGTTCCCCTGCAGTGAGCGTGCCGCAGAGCTGCTCTGCACACTGAGCCCTTCCGGGCCTCGGCACAGCAACTCTGCCTGACAACGCTGCCATGCGGCCGCTGACATCACAATAGCAGTGCCCGGGGCTGCTTTGTGAGTTCATGCACAGAACCACACCTTCTCTACAGATGATGCCAAAAAAAGCCTGCAGCGTTCTCCTCTGCTACAAAGCCACACAAAAAGCCCCTCTAGTCCATCACCTGTTGCTCAAGGCATCTAAGAGTAAAAACACACTAAGCCCCTCTAGCCCACACTGAGAAGCTGAGCACTGAGAAGGGAGCAGGATGTGAGGAACCACATTAGTGCTCTTTGGCCACTATTGCTTCTGAGCAAAAACCAGAAGGCTTCTTCCAGCGGGACCTCCCTTAGTTCCAGAAAGCAGCAAACTATCAGAACCCAGGAAATTCCTCTGCCTGCCCTGGAGGGCTCAAGCCGCTGCCCGGGGGCTCAGAGACTTTGGCACAGAGCCCAAGATGCCTGTGCCTTTGATTTAGCCCTTGGAAAAAACAATCACCAATCTTAATATGAAGAATTACAAGTCAAAAGAGTTTAAGTAGAATAATAGGTAGTTTGTCACCAGGTGAAAAATAGATTTTTGAGGTTTTGAAAATGACAGCTCGGGGGTCTCAAGATGGAGGAATTTGGATGTGCCTTGTCCTTTTTCCTCCTTCTTCCTAGCCACCATCTTCTGAGTGATGTTGGCACTTTTAGATTGGTTTAGAGGAGAAGTTCACTGTCTCACATAGGTGATAGGTATTGGGAAGTTATTGTAAATAGTGTACACATAGTTTTGGGTATAAAAAGACAACACTGCCTCTGAGGTGGGCAGTGTGCCTCAACCCAAGCTGCTAGACAGACCTTGGCACGTTGGAGAAAGAATATTATAGATAAGAAACAATAAACAACCTTGAGACCAAGAACAGAAGAGTTCCCACTCCTTCATCAGCTTCCGGGCTGGGGAAAGAGACTTTCTAACGCATCTCAGGGTCACTCTGACCAGCAGAGATTGCAAGAGCAAACAGGGAGAAGCACGACTTCAATGACATTTAGAGTTTCCTCCTAGGTACAGAGACAAGGCCATGTGTCTTTCAGCACTATTTATTCAAAGCATTTTGCATCACAGCCGTGGCTGTGATTTCAGCAGGGAAACGCCATGACAGGAAATGCAAGGAGGATCCTTCTCTCTGACTCACTCTAGCAGAGAGGCCTTGGCACCAAAGCACCACCACCATTTTTTCCCCCCACTTTTGTCCTTCCTCAGTAATTTTTTGGACACAGGGCTGAGATGGGTGGCACTGAAATGACAGCTCTGACACACAGCTGAAACCATCAGGGCCGGGGGGCATGTGCGACTGTTTTTCTTCTCCAGCAGAACAAGGCAAGCCAGAGTGTTCACACTGATACCAAGCGAGTTCAGCCAAGCCCAAAGGGAGTGCAGCCAAGCCAAGTGCAGCCCAGCAGGCTGGGAGGAAGAGGCAGCAAAGCGGCAGATCCCATTGCCACGGACACGCCCGGCGTGGCGGACTGATGGCAGCGGCAGTGCCAAACAGAGCTCCGCTGTTTGGGAGAGAGCAGACACCCATCACCATCGCCACTGCCACCAGCACTGCCGCAGAGAGGGAGCAGCAAACTGCCACTGCAGGGCCAGAGCTGCTCCCGGCAGCACCAGCAGCCCCCATCTACCATCAGAACCATGCTGGAAGCCCTGGCCATCCTGTCTTTGCTCCAGGGGCCCCGTGTGACACTGCACCTTTCTTGCTTAAGCCATTACCTCTTTCGCACAATTTTCTTCCTATTGTCGTCTACTGCTGCTTTTTTTTTTCCCCTCACTACATTATAACTCTAACATTCTCAGCTTCTCATAGATTGGTTTTTCCATTGTCCCCCTCCATTGTGGTGGAGAAGGGGAGAGAGGAGAGGCTTTCCCTGGACTATCTCAAGAAGAGGACATAGAAAGGAGGGAAGGCCTTAGAAAGAAAAAACAACGCTCAGGATGCCTCTTTGGGAGGGAAGCAAATGTGCAAGTTTCTTAATATCCAGCCACAAATCTCTGGAGTCTTGACAGCCAAGAAGCACAGGAACCTGGAAACCTTGTTGTGAGACACTGGAGGACATTGCTGGCTCAAGCCCTTTCAGGCGCTTGTAGGTGGGGAAAGGGGCAGATCAAGCCTTGCTCTGCTGAGGCCATGCCCTACTCTGCACACCCCACACCCCCAGGCCTGCATCCCAGCCCAGCTGTGGCCGCTGATCCCTGGCACACCAGAGGCAAGGCTCCACACCTGTGTCTGGAGCCCCTAACCCAGCTCCTAAATGGCCAGGTGAGTGGCAGCCCCATGTGGGGGAAGGCCCCAGGAAAGCCAAAGGCTATTTACCTCGGGATGTGTGGCCACCACGTCTCTTGACCCTACCTCCTCTTGGTCTCATTTGCAAGCTGAGCTTCCTATCCCCTTTCAAAGCCTTTCACAGTCTAGTGCTCTGTCACCAGTGCCTCAGTTCCATGGTGGGAATTCTGAAGTCCTTTCAGAGAAGCCTTGCCTGAAAGAGAACAGGTCTGGCTTGCAGTGCATTGCTCTGGAGGCCTTAGGAAGTTGCTTTGCCAGCCCTTACCCACTTACTGGCCAAAAAACACATGTGAAAGACTGAAGCTTTGCCAGCTGTGACAGTGCCCCAAAGAGAAGGCAGTTAGGGGCAAAATAAGGAGAATTATTTTGGTGCTGGCACACACATCAGGTACCAGGTGGGTGAGAAAAGCCATCTGTAAATAGCTCAGCTGACAATCAGGGAGAGGAAGGTGCGAAGAAAAGCAGAGGTAGAAATCTCAAAGGAATGAGAGGACTATGGACAGAAGTTGAAACTAGCCAAAAGAAAAAACAACAAAAAAAAAGAGTAATTGGATGAAATACTGATAAAATTCAGCAAGTCTTCTCTTGGTGCTGGATGGTGCATTGGGGGATAGTGTTGGCAGCTTTGGGTGCCCATCCCAAAGCCATCACCTGTTTTCCCTGTGCCCTGACGGGTTCAGAGAGGCTGTTGATCTGCATGGCCACTCCCAGTTGGCCCCAGAGTCCTCTCCACTTCCTGATCAGCTCACCATAAGTTTTCTGGCTGTCATCCGTTGTGGCTTCTCTTCTCCTGAGGCTTGGTGTTGGTCATTGTTGTCTGATGTGTGGCTGTGTGGTCATTTTTGGCCCGTGCCCTCCAGGACAAACCCCCACACTCCCCCTTTTTTGTTTTATTTAAAATGAAAGGTATAACAATCATAGTAAAAATAATATCTTCTTATACCTAAAACCAACACAATACTTAGTAGATTTTAACTAAACTTGGGAATTAAAATGAACAGGTGGGTTGATATTGCAGACATAAGCAAACAATAAGTAAATACAATTTTCATTTTCCCTCACTTCTCGGGCCCTGACTCCCAGATGGCTCCCCGCCACTTCATTCCCTTTCACTTACCCACAAAACAAAAGAGAACAGAAAATCAAAGCCAAAAGACTTGGGGTGACACCTTTCCCGCATGGCCTTCAGCAAACACAAGTCAAAAGAAAAGGTTTCATGGGGGACTAGAATGGGGGAACGTTCCGGTGGTGCAGGGCACAGAACTCCTGTGGGGGCAACAGAGTCGGTCCTCCAGCTGTTTTATTCTCAACTTCTATTGTAGCTCTGACCTCTGAAATATGTATTGCAGCAAAAATGGGAGTCTGCTAATACAAGAGGAAAGCAGGGGCAGGGTTGAGGGCAGTCAGAAAGTGGGTTAGGGTAGAATCCAGGACGCCATGGCCGGTGCCGTCCTGACAAGGGGTCAGAAGAGGAGGGGAGATGGCAGATGGCTGGTGGCTTGCCTTTGCTTGCTCTTGAGCAGGTTCCATCTCCTGGCCTGTCCTTCCCAGGGACAATGGGTTCAGGGAAGTGGGGGAAGAACATGAAAACTGGGAAATATTGTGCAACCAAAATTTAAATTTAAATGCTAGTCAAATATACCATCAGTTACCACCAAACATAGCAAAGTAAATGATTTTCAATAATCACGGTATCAAATGTATATTGAAACGATAAACAGGAGACCATGGGAGAGGTTAAAGTCTAGGGGACATTCTTCCAGGCCACAGCCCCAGGAAGTGCCCTAGCAGGCCCACAGGCCTCCACAGTGGCTCAGGCAGGTCCCAACTGCACAAGTTTTCGCTCCCTCATGTTGGCCTTGGTTCCCGTGGCAGAACTTGCCTTCCCGCTGGACACTCACCTGCGCCTGAGCCCCTGGAGAAGCCCGGCTCCCTCCCCCTCTGCCCACAGCCACAGCAGCCTCCTCAGCAGTGACACCACTGCTCTGCTCCATTCTGCCCTACTCTGCTCCTCTAGCCACAGCTGCAATGCCTCTATCTCCACAAGAGCTTGTGGCCTGGAGGCACTGAAGGAAGAAGACCTTTGCACGTTTCCAAACCATGCCACAAATCCCCATCCATGTGTCTTCCCACATCGAAGAAACACCTGAGCATTCAGAAGCAAATTTAGAGCTTATTCACAGGGTGAGAACAAAGGGAAGCTTCCAGCACAGTGAAGGTTTTATTTATTATAGTATTTATTTTGCCTATTCGAATAAAGAGACTACGAACTATGAGCTATAATCTAGAAACTACAAACTACGAGCTATAATCTACAAACTACAAACTACAAACTGCAAACAACAACAATGGCCTCTTCCAGGGCTAGTATCTCCTGTTGGCCATAAACTGCTGCGTGGCCATGATCAGAGGCGTCAGCTCGGAGGTCGGCTTGGCTGATGTTACAAACGGATGCTGCCCAAAGAGAAAAAGAAAAACATGAACTTGTACTTTCCTCACAGGCTGAAACAGGCTTTCTCTGGCTACCAGAAAGATACAGAAAGAAGAAAAGGAGGGCATTCTGGGCACCACTGTCTCCACATCCAGGACCTTGCTACATGAGGCAAAATGGCTCCCAATCCCACAAATCCGTGACTCCAGATGTCTTCAGCTTAAGGAGATTTGGTCTAGGTGACCTTGAAAGGCTCCTTCCAAGGCATCCTAGGCCAGGATTCTCCTTTGTTTTCCTTTGCAAGCCCCCAGAGGGGAGATTCTTAGGAGCGGGCCCCATCAGACGCCTTGGACTTGAGCAGATGAGGAGCCCCTGGCAGCGGGCAGCTGGCGCAGCCTGCAGCCGCTTTGCCTTTTACCTGCAGCAGTTCCTGGGCAGACCAGCGCCTGTCCTCGTCCCTCTCCAGGCAGCAGTGCAGAAAGTCTCGCAACCACGCCGACTGCTGCCTGGGCTTCTGCAGCTTTGGCCTGCCCCCGCTGCTGATCAGCTCTTGAACCTAGAGAAGAAGGAAATGCCACGCTCTAGCTGTCTCCTTCGCACCCCAAACTGCTCACACACACCCCACGGGACAGGCTCCACTCTCCCGTGGCACTTTACTCCCTGCCAGAGCCTGGCAGATACCTTTCCTACCCCTACTGAAAGAACACAAAGCCACAGGCAGCCATAGCCAGTCCAATAGGCAAAGGCTCTTGCCTTCACCCCTGATTTCACTGGCTGATGGGGACTAAAAGCCCAGCTTTGCCCTTTTGTCAAAGCTTCCCTCAAGCAAAAGGCATCACCAGTTTTTGTGCGGTTCGTGCACTGCAATGGCAAGGTGACGATCTGGACAAGGAGCACGAGAGACTATGCAGCCTGGCACCTCTCATTTCCAGGTGTTAGCAAGCTTGCCAGGCAGAAGAATGGGAGCAGATTGTGTTTGGGTGTCAGCAGTATCTGAGAGCAGTTGCAGCGCACCGTGTGGGAGGTTTTCATCCGGTAAGGAGGCGCCCCTTCCACCATCTCGATCCCCACAATGCCAAAGGACCAGATGTCCACTTTGGGGCCATAGAGCTTCCTGGTGAAGATTTCTGGCGCCATCCAGTAAGTGGTCCCAACAGCTGATCTCCGTTTGCTCTGCTCAGCGGTCAGCTGAGCAGCAAGGCCAAAATCAGCTGAGGAGAAAAAACAGGCCAGCGTGAATGAGGAAAGCAAAACAAAGAAATCCCCGCTGTACCAATGTCCAAGAGGGCAGCGTGGAACCCGGCTGCCAGCAAGGGGCCATGCTGCCATTCCTCTGGCCTGCAGCCGAGGAAATACCGAATTGGCCAGTTAGCAAAAGCCCCAGCTTTCAGGCAGTGGCTTTTAGTGCCCTGAAGCTATTAGACTGTAAGTGCCTCGCTTGGGAAGGGACACACGCACAAGCCAAAGGCACTCCTGAGCCCTTGTTCCCAGCAACACCTCCCTGCACCTTGGGGCTCTGCTCTGCACTTGTATCAGGGCAGCCTGGACTGCCACAGGCACCACTGCAGGGAACCGGCAGTCACCCAAAGGCAGCCCCACACCGCAGCCTGCCAGAGCTGAGCCTGGCCAACAACACCCACCCAACTTGACGGATCCGTCCAGACGCAGGAGAATGTTGTGGCTTTTGACGTCCCGGTGGATCACTTGCTTGGAGTGAAGGAAATCCAGGCCTTGCAGGCACTGAGAGAGGAAAAAGAAACACCAGCCTAAGTGGATTTCATCCCACAAGCGGGGAAGTGGCACATCTGCAACACTGCAACATTCCTGGGCCATGCTGAGCCATGGCACGACAGGCTGCTGGCAAGGGCAAGAGCTTGCTGCTCCAACACAAGGACAGCAGTGCCTTTCTAAGTGAGGGTGTGTGTGCTTCTGAAAGAGAAAGGACAATTGTTCCTCCGGCCACTGCCCTGCAACCACAGACTGAAGCAGCACTGCTGCAGTGGCTGTGCTCTCTCCAGCCAGACAAGAGTGGATGCTTTTGCAAACACCCCTTTGGTGCAAGGCTCTCTTGGAGGCTGAGCTCCATGACAGCCCAGTGTGTATCTTTGTCTGTGCCACTTATTTTACATTGTGCCACCAGCAACTTTGCCCGTCCAGGGAAGGAATGCAGCACACACAGGCTCCAGGCAAGTGTTTAGAGAGGCAAACACAAACACACTAGAAGAAGGGCAGGGACACTGGCAGGCACTTCAGATGCTCTTGCTACTGCCAGTCATAAGAGAAAGGCAGCAAGGAGGCTCAGAAGATGAAATCTCTCCTCTCCTTGTCACCCATTTGGAAGGACCATCCCGACCAAGGCATGGGAAGCACAGGCACTATCCCTTACCTCCCGAGAGACAGCTGCTATCTCTCCTTCTGCCAGACGAGTCTCCCTGATGACATCGTGTAAGGAACCTCCGTCCATGTATTCCATCACGAGCCAGAGTTCCTCGTCCAGCAGGTAGCTGAAAGGAGGAAACAACAGCCTGGAGATGAAGGTGTGGTGTGCACTCACACCACCTGCTGGATTCTTGTTTCTGTGTCTCTCTCAGAGGAAGACAGGAGGAAGTGAGCAGTCATTCACTACGCTCTACAGGCCTTGAACTCTGGGCAGTCTAAAACACTGCTTGCTATCCACACCAACGAACAGGCCAAGGGAAATACAATCTGCAGTGCTTCGGCAACACTTCAGACCCATGGGGAAAAAATCCAAGCCCAAAGCAACAAAACAATGGGGAGAGAGCACAGGAACTTTGAGGCTGTTGGCTCAGTAAGATAGGGCCAAGTCTGGCCTTTGAAAGCGCCCTTCAAACTTGGTATGCCAGGAAAGAGTAATGCAGCCCAATGCAATCTCCTCCCAAGACACTGTAGATCAGCCCAGAAACAGGAATGAACAGCTCCATCCTCTGCCATCCACCAAAGGAGTGCTTGAACCTCTGGCTTGCAGGATGTGAATGACCTTTCACAGCAGAACAGCAGAACCACTCACCTGTCTACATAGTTGACAAGGTTGGCGTGCTTATTGCCACGCATGACCTGGATTTCATTCAGGCACAGTTCGCTGCTGCTCTCTTGCAGGAGACTAATTTTCTTTATGGCCACCTAAAACGACAGGGAAAACCATGAACCAAAGAAGTCCGTGGTACAGGACCACAAGGGCAACATGGAGACAGTGATTATGGGATGATAGTGCTGGGCTGGGCCAAGCTGCCTTGTGACAGGACATCAGACCGCCTGCTCGGGCACCTCCCAGGACACAGAGCCACATAGCCTCTGCCTTGGAAACCTGGCAGAAACACGCTCTAAGCTCTCCACCTCAGACGTCTAACAACACTCACTGTGCCCAGGGCCAGTCTTCTCCCGTGGCCTTACTTTATCATCCCCATGCTCATTCACACACCTCTTACAAGCAGAAAGCCATTTTGTGCCAGTAAAAATGGAGCAAAACTGCTGGGAAACCATTGGCACTTCTAGGGGATTGGATCATTACTCCAGCAGTCACTGGCATTCTCCATGGCACAACAACAAAGCAAACAGTTAGAGATGTGGCAGATAAAATGCTGTCCTAAAAACATCCTGAGGGCTATTCCTCCTAAGATATACAACCCTACATACTTCACAGAAAAAATGCCACAATGATGAAAACATCATTAAGGACACCTCCAAAAACCACAATCCTAGCATTTCCTCACTCCAGGAATTTTCATTCTGCTCCACTGAAATACTTTTCTTCACACCACTGACTTTTGCAATTACTGCCTGACTGTAAAACGAAATAACCCAGGCCATGATCTTCTAGGGATATACACCGGGCTATGAGCAGGGCTTAGGCCCTTGAGAGACTCCTTGCAGACCACTCTGTCTAAGCACAGTTCCAAGGGCAGCACTGCAGGTGCCTACAGAACTATCAGCACGATTCCCATCTATTTGCTAACAGCCAGAAAAGAGAACTCAGGAACCCTGAAGCCCCACAGAGCAGTGCCATGCTCTGAGACACCACCTGGGCGCTAAGACCCAGCCAGCGTGTCCTCCTCTGGCCTCCTTGCATTCCCAGGGGCAGCTGAGAAGGACAAAATCTGTCCCCACTGTATTTGGCAGGGCGGACACTGCTCTGCACTTCATCTGCCTTTGCAGCAAAGCTCTCCTGGCCACCCAAAGCTCAGCCACAGCTCACAGCAGAGGGGAGGGCACTCGAGAGCTGCAGAAGCTGCGGCGCTGCTTGGCGCTTACCTCTATCTCCTGTGGCAGTCTCCACTGCCATGCACACCGTGCCGAAACCCCTAGAAACAAAACAGCAAGCGGAGAAAGAAAAGTCCTTTAGTCCCTGCCAGTGCAAGACACTGCAGTCCAATGGCAAATAAGTCCTGGGGCAAACAGTAAATAAGAATAGGACAGATTCTCGTGTGGGTCTTTCCCCCCTTTTCTCTTTCTGTATCTGTACATGTGTGGGATTTTTCCAGGAACTTGCCAGTTGGGCCTTCTCCCACTTCTCCCTGGAGCCTGTCTGCCAAAATCAAACACCACTACTGAGGCCTTCTGAGAAGCCTGAGGCCACGGAGCAGCCATTGCAGGAAAGCCTCCAGACACAGATCCCTTCTCCAGCTTGCAAGGAAGTTAGTGCCCAGCCACAGCTGCAGCCACAGCCAGAGCGGGGAAAGGCTTCCATTGCTGCACACACAAATGGAGAAGTCCTCAAAACACAGGATCCTTGGACAGCGGCGTTCTGAGTCCAGAGCTGTTGTCAGCTGCTTCTCTTCGGTGCCCCAGACACCTGGAGGACTCTGCTTTTCTGGAGACTTCTTGTACATTTGGCTTCTCACAGGGAAAATGTTGCAAATCAGTCCCATTTCCAGTCAGCAGAGCCGGCTTTCAAAGGGAACAGCTTGGTGGATTCTTTGCAGGAAAGGCCTAAACCCCACAGGATCCACCAGGGTTCTGCCATCAGCCAGATGATGCCTTTTCCTCTGGAGTGCATTGGCACTGGCCATTGCCCTGAAGCTTTGTCTTTTGCCACCTCAGCTACAAAAGAGAGCTGCTCCTTTCATTTCTGCTTTTGGCTGCTAGGCTAGGTGGTGGCCATCCAGACCACTGAATCTTGGTTTCAGCAAAATACTGGAAAGAAATGTTACCCAGAGCTGTTCCCTGACAGCTGTCAGCTGCTGACTTGACCTCTGAGGCAACAAAGTTTCTCCTCCTTTCATTCCCACCCATTCTGTAGTCTTTTGAGACATGCAAAAATGCTCTCTCCTAGGAAGAGCGGCAATCAGGTGCAACAGACTTGAGGGACAGGAGATCTGCAGGTGCTGCTCTTTGCCGCAGAAAAGACATTGCCAGCGTCCAGGTGTCTTTGCCGCCATGCCTTCGGACCACAGCTGTAAATGCTGACCAGTACTGAGAGATCATCAGGCATCATCCTAACGCAGTGTCTGAACAGCTTTGGAGCTTGCCTGACGTCGCTCTGGGGAGATGTGACACCAGCAAATGCACAGGCCCTGCCTTTGAAGAAGGAACTGTGGCTGCACTCACCCTTTGCCAATGGTTTCCAGCTCTGTGTATTCAGCCTCAGGATCTCCCTCGCTCACCAGCATCTCTGTAAAAATCCCAAGGAAAGATGCTCACTTCAAAAGAGATCCCACCCTGCAGCAGATCAGAAAGGCAGCCCCACTCTCTGCCACTCTGGGCCCTTTCAACTCAGGCAGTCGGCCAACAACAACACCACCGCACCACCACCACCACCACCACCTCAGAAACAACAGCAGCAAGACGAGCAGCCCTGCAGCACAGATGGCCTGCACCAAACTAGACGTCTAAACTAAAATCTAAGCACGTGCAGAAACAGTCAGAGGATGCAGGATCAGAAAGCTGTAACCAAGAGAACTGGTTGTTGTCTAGAAATGTTAAGGGCAGCAGGAATAACAAAACCTTGCTGGTCTTGGCAATCAACACTCTGTGACCTTCAAGCAAAGCTTTAATCCTTGCAATCATCAAAGGCATCCTGGCTCCTGGAATCAATTTGTTCTCAACAGCTGCCCTTTGCAGGACAGCAAGAATATTGCAAAGTGCTTCCAGCAGAAGCACAATCTGCAGCTTTGAGCAGGACAATTTTGCCTAAACAATGGCCTTCTGCCTTTCAGGAGCAGCAGCTCATGTTCCAACCTACTGTGCTGGGCCTTAGGAATGAGGTGCCTCAGCCTTTAGGACAGGCCGAGTTCTGAAGATGACCTTGGCCGTGCCCCACAGGAGCTCCTTGAGCGCCTACTCATTGGCTGGGTCACGGCCTCCTGCTCAGCCAGAAACAATCTCTGGTTTGCCTTTTGCCTCCAGGGAAGCTCAGGCAAAGCCAAGCCAGGCTGAGCTGCTCTCAGAGGCAGGAGCAACACCCCGGTGACCCCTCACCACCTCAAAGCACAACAACGGGTCCTATGTGGAGGCCTCAGGAGCTGGCACTCAGCTGAGGAGGAACAGGAGCTGGGACAGCTCATGCCGACACACGCACACACAGGGCACTGCTCCAGCAGACAAGGATCACAAAGGACGTACTCAGCATGGCCAGGCACTTGTCCTCTGTCCTCTCTCCCAGCTGCTCTCTGCTGCCAGAGGAGCTACTGGTGCTCCAGATGCACGAGCTGCTCCCGCTGCACTTGCCAGCTTGGGGACTGGAGGCTCCTTCAGAGCCTTCTGCTGCAGCTCCTGCAGGTGCCAGGACAGAGGAGGTGGAGCTCTGGGAAAAGAAATGAGTGAGGTCACAAATGTGCCTGGCAGAGGTGCCCCTGCCATCCCATTTCAAATGCAAGCCCCTGGGAAGATGCTGCTGGCCACAGCCAGGGCTCTTCACCTCTCAGCTTTTGCAGCCCGCTTCTCCAGCTCAAGGCCCAAAATCCAAAGGCTGCTTTTACACCATGGACAAAATGACACCACACTCACTGCTAACCAAAGCAGGCACTTACTGATGATGTTTGCTCTGGGCCTGGGCTGACAGCAGGGGCAGGTTCATGAGCACCTTCCTCCTCTTCAGCCTCTTCCTCGCGTGCAGAGGCAGCCAGAGCAGGTGCTGACGCTGCCCTTCTGCTCTGGGGACACACAGCAGCATGAGGGACAGGAAAGAACCTGGCATTCACCACCTCACCTATATTCAGCTACAGGCCCCGCTGCATCTCAGCTGTTCCTTTAGCTACTGACAGCTGCTGTCTGCGCAGGGCCAGGTCCCTCCTGGGGACAGTGTCTCCTCATATCCTGCAAGCTTCTGAACTGCACCTTTGCACTGCTCTCTTCACTGGGGACAGGGAGCCTGCACAGCCACTGGCCACCAAGGGCCTCACTTGTACCCCAGCAGCATGCCAAGACATCCTAATGCTACCTCCTGTCTCTTGCTAAGACAAATTCACAGCCTCTTTCAGAACAGTAGGAAGGTGATCCCTGAACTTCCAAGTTCCAGGCCTCACTGCCTGCGGGAAGGGCAGGAAAGATTCCAGCCCTCAGCATCTTCAGCCAGGCACGGGAGGTGCTGTCTGATCAGAAACTTGCAGCTATGCTTTGCTCCAGCCACAGGACTGCCCAGAGCTGCCACTTACTGATGCTGCATGCTCAGGCCCTGCAGTGGCAGCAGGTACACTTTGCTGGGCATCTTCCTCCCCTTGGGCCTCTTCTTCAGGAAGACACACAGCCACTGGAGGCTCCGAGGTTCCCTTTGGGCTCTGCAGACAGACAGCAGCGTCCTTTATATTCAGCTCTAGACCCAGATGCACTCAGGAGAAAGCATCTGCAGAGAAATGGGATTCTAAGGTGCTCAGACTCAAGTAAAATGGGCCAGCTGGATGGGACTGCGCTCTCTTGTACAGGAGAAATTCCATCATGGCAGCCACCACTTTCAGCTGCTTAAAAGTTCTGGAAAGGAACTGGAGAAAACAGCCCTGGGTCCTCCTGCTGCTGCTGTTGCTGCAAAGGGCCTGGACTGGACTTTCATTCATCCAGCCAGGCTGGCACCGGACTGCAACAGGCCCAGCTCACAGCTTGCTCCGCAATTGCCAAATGCTACCAAGGCCAGAGGCTCCTTTGCCACTCACCCAAAGAGCAGATTCTCTCCAGGCACGGCTGATGTGACCTGCAACACACAAGGGAAAAAGAACCAGATGCTCTAAGAAAACTGCCTGTGCTGGCCATGCCCACCCCAAAGTCAACCCAAAGACAGAGCATTCTGCTTTCACTACACCACTCCAGCAGCATCCCTTGTGGCACACAGCAAGCAAGACAACAGCAGCACAAAATACTGCCTGGTGTCTACCTTGTCTCTCCTCTTTGGCCACTCAACCCATAGAAACTTGAGACTAAGTCTACAAGTGGTTCTCTAACAGTCATTGCTTCTGCCCCACCTCACCAAGCAGCGGCTACAGCTCCTCTCTTTGCTGTATTTCAGTCTTCTCAAGACATTGCATGCAGCAATTGCCATGAGCTTACTGAAAACCTTTCCCCAGGGAGGCTTCACCCAAGTCCCTCTGAGCCATGGTGGCAGTCCTATCATGACACAGCACAGGAACAGCTCCTGTGTGTGGGAGCATACAAGAACTCCTCAAAAATGTCCATCTCAGAGGCCTTTACCAAGCTCATTCTGTGATTTCATCACAGAACAAATGGCTCTTTTAGCGCGCAGGAAGTGTCAAGTTCCACAGGCACATGCTGGGATGAGGGAATGCAGACAAGAAGCCTTGAACTGAGGGACTTTGCCTCAGTCCTGGAGAGCAGTGCACAGCTTTTACAAGGACTCCTGCCAAGCTCTCCCAGTCTTCCCATCCTGGAAGTTGTCTTGCTTGAGCCAGCAAACTGAGGAGACTCCAGACTCCATTGCCACAGGCCGTGGCACGGCAGGAGCGGAATCCCCGCAGGCTACATCACAAATGCTGCCCATGCCCCACTGGCTAGAGACACGCCCTTCTTAGCTGGAGCTGTGGGCAGGGGCGTTACCCAGCTGAAGGCCTCTTTGTGGCATTTGGGTTTCCATATGCTGCACTGAACAAAAACGTCTACTTACGTGCCAGGTGGGTGAAAAAGTACCCGGAATAAGCCACGGTAAAAGCCGTGAAAGCTGCAGCACACACTCCCTCCATGGCTGGAGCGGTGCTGCTCAATCTGCAAGGGACAAAGCCTGTAGGCAGAAAACAAAAAACCTCAGAGTCCTGCTGGCAGAGACCTCGTCGATCAGCAGGTTCCCCTGCAGTGAGCGTGCCGCAGAGCTGCTCTGCACACTGAGCCCTTCCGGGCCTCGGCACAGCAACTCTGCCTGACAACGCTGCCATGCGGCCGCTGACATCACAATAGCAGTGCCCGGGGCTGCTTTGTGAGTTCATGCACAGAACCACACCTTCTCTACAGATGATGCCAAAAAAAGCCTGCAGCGTTCTCCTCTGCTACAAAGCCACACAAAAAGCCCTCCTAGTCCATCACCTGTTGCTCAAGGCATCTAAGAGTAAAAACACACTAAGCCCCTCTAGCCCACACTGAGAAGCTGAGCCCTGAGAAGGGAGCAGGATGTGAGGAACCACATTAGTGCTCTTTGGCCACTATTGCTTCTGACCAAAAACCAGAAGGCTTCTTCCAGCGGGACCTCCCTTAGTTCCAGAAAGCAGCAAACTATCAGAACCCAGGAAATTCCTCTGCCTGCCCTGGAGGGCTCAAGCCGCTGCCCGGGGGCTCAGAGACTTTGGCACAGAGCCCAAGATGCCTGTGCCTTTGATTTAGCCCTTGGAAAAAACAATCACCAATCTTAATATGAAGAATTACAAGTCAAAAGAGTTTAAGTAGAATAATAGGTAGTTTGTCACCAGGTGAAAAATAGATTTTTGAGGTTTTGAAAATGACAGCTCGGGGGTCTCAAGATGGAGGAATTTGGATGTGCCTTGTCCTTTTTCCTCCTTCTTCCTAGCCACCATCTTCTGAGTGATGTTGGCACTTTTAGATTGGTTTAGAGGAGAAGTTCACTGTCTCACATAGGTGATAGGTATTGGGAAGTTATTGTAAATAGTGTACACATAGTTTTGGGTATAAAAAGACAACACTGCCTCTGAGGTGGGCAGTGTGCCTCAACCCAAGCTGCTAGACAGACCTTGGCACGTTGGAGAAAGAATATTATAGATAAGAAACAATAAACAACCTTGAGACCAAGAACAGAAGAGTTCCCACTCCTTCATCAGCTTCCGGGCTGGGGAAAGAGACTTTCTAATGCATCTCAGGGTCACTCTGACCAGCAGAGATTGCAAGAGCAAACAGGGAGAAGCACGACTTCAATGACATTTAGAGTTTCCTCCTAGGTACAGAGACAAGGCCATGTGTCTTTCAGCACTATTTATTCAAAGCATTTTACATCACAGCCGTGGCTGTGATTTCAGCAGGGAAACGCCATGACAGGAAATGCAAGGAGGATCCTTCTCTCTGACTCACTCTAGCAGAGAGGCCTTGGCACCAAAGCACCACCACCATTTTTTCCCCCCACTTTTGTCCTTCCTCAGTAATTTTTTGGACACAGGGCTGAGATGGGTGGCACTGAAATGACAGCTCTGACACACAGCTGAAACCATCAGGGCCGGGGGGCATGTGCGACTGTTTTTCTTCTCCAGCAGAACAAGGCAAGCCAGAGTGTTCACACTGATACCAAGCGAGTTCAGCCAAGCCCAAAGGGAGTGCAGCCAAGCCAAGTGCAGCCCAGCAGGCTGGGAGGAAGAGGCAGCAAAGTGGCAGATCCCATTGCCACGGACACGCCCGGCGTGGCGGACTGATGGCAGCGGCAGTGCCAAACAGAGCTCCGCTGTTTGGGAGAGAGCAGACACCCATCACCATCGCCACTGCCACCAGCACTGCCGCAGAGAGGGAGCAGCAAACTGCCACTGCAGGGCCAGAGCTGCTCCCGGCAGCACCAGCAGCCCCCATCTACCATCAGAACCATGGTGGAAGCCCTGGCCATCCTGTCTTTGCTCCAGGGGCCCCGTGTGACACTGCACCTTTCTTGCTTAAGCCATTACCTCTTTCGCACAATTTTCTTCCTATTGTCGTCTACTGCTGCTTTTTTTTTTCCCCTCACTACATTATAACTCTAACATTCTCAGCTTCTCATAGATTGGTTTTTCCATTGTCCCCCTCCATTGTGGTGGAGAAGGGGAGAGAGGAGAGGCTTTCCCTGGACTATCTCAAGAAGAGGACATAGAAAGGAGGGAAGGCCTTAGAAAGAAAAAACAACGCTCAGGATGCCTCTTTGGGAGGGAAGCAAATGTGCAAGTTTCTTAATATCCAGCCACAAATCTCTGGAGTCTTGACAGCCAAGAAGCACAGGAACCTGGAAACCTTGTTGTGAGACACTGGAGGACATTGCTGGCTCAAGCCCTTTCAGGCGCTTGTAGGTGGGGAAAGGGGCAGATCAAGCCTTGCTCTGCTGAGGCCATGCCCTACTCTGCACACCCCACACCCCCAGGCCTGCATCCCAGCCCAGCTGTGGCCGCTGATCCCTGGCACACCAGAGGCAAGGCTCCACACCTGTGTCTGGAGCCCCTAACCCAGCTCCTAAATGGCCAGGTGAGTGGCAGCCCCATGTGGGGGAAGGCCCCAGGAAAGCCAAAGGCTATTTACCTCGGGATGTGTGGCCACCACGTCTCTTGACCCTACCTCCTCTTGGTCTCATTTGCAAGCTGAGCTTCCTATCCCCTTTCAAAGCCTTTCACAGTCTAGTGCTCTGTCACCAGTGCCTCAGTTCCATGGTGGGAATTCTGAAGTCCTTTCAGAGAAGCCTTGCCTGAAAGAGAACAGGTCTGGCTTGCAGTGCATTGCTCTGGAGGCCTTAGGAAGTTGCTTTGCCAGCCCTTACCCACTTACTGGCCAAAAAACACATGTGAAAGACTGAAGCTTTGCCAGCTGTGACAGTGCCCCAAAGAGAAGGCAGTTAGGGGCAAAATAAGGAGAATTATTTTGGTGCTGGCACACACATCAGGTACCAGGTGGGTGAGAAAAGCCATCTGTAAATAGCTCAGCTGACAATCAGGGAGAGGAAGGTGCGAAGAAAAGCAGAGGTAGAAATCTCAAAGGAATGAGAGGACTATGGACAGAAGTTGAAACTAGCCAAAAGAAAAAACAACAAAAAAAAAGAGTAATTGGATGAAATACTGATAAAATTCAGCAAGTCTTCTCTTGGTGCTGGATGGTGCATTGGGGGATAGTGTTGGCAGCTTTGGGTGCCCATCCCAAAGCCATCACCTGTTTTCCCTGTGCCCTGACGGGTTCAGAGAGGCTGTTGATCTGCATGGCCACTCCCAGTTGGCCCCAGAGTCCTCTCCACTTCCTGATCAGCTCACCATAAGTTTTCTGGCTGTCATCCGTTGTGGCTTCTCTTCTCCTGAGGCTTGGTGTTGGTCATTGTTGTCTGATGTGTGGCTGTGTGGTCATTTTTGGCCCGTGCCCTCCAGGACAAACCCCCACACTCCCCCTTTTTTGTTTTATTTAAAATGAAAGGTATAACAATCATAGTAAAAATAATATCTTCTTATACCTAAAACCAACACAATACTTAGTAGATTTTAACTAAACTTGGGAATTAAAATGAACAGGTGGGTTGATATTGCAGACATAAGCAAACAATAAGTAAATACAATTTTCATTTTCCCTCACTTCTCGGGCCCTGACTCCCAGATGGCTCCCCGCCACTTCATTCCCTTTCACTTACCCACAAAACAAAAGAGAACAGAAAATCAAAGCCAAAAGACTTGGGGTGACACCTTTCCCGCATGGCCTTCAGCAAACACAAGTCAAAAGAAAAGGTTTCATGGGGGACTAGAATGGGGGAACGTTCCGGTGGTGCAGGGCACAGAACTCCTGTGGGGGCAACAGAGTCGGTCCTCCAGCTGTTTTATTCTCAACTTCTATTGTAGCTCTGACCTCTGAAATATGTATTGCAGCAAAAATGGGAGTCTGCTAATACAAGAGGAAAGCAGGGGCAGGGTTGAGGGCAGTCAGAAAGTGGGTTAGGGTAGAATCCAGGACGCCATGGCCGGTGCCGTCCTGACAAGGGGTCAGAAGAGGAGGGGAGATGGCAGATGGCTGGTGGCTTGCCTTTGCTTGCTCTTGAGCAGGTTCCATCTCCTGGCCTGTCCTTCCCAGGGACAATGGGTTCAGGGAAGTGGGGGAAGAACATGAAAACTGGGAAATATTGTGCAACCAAAATTTAAATTTAAATGCTAGTCAAATATACCATCAGTTACCACCAAACATAGCAAAGTAAATGATTTTCAATAATCACGGTATCAAATGTATATTGAAACGATAAACAGGAGACCATGGGAGAGGTTAAAGTCTAGGGGACATTCTTCCAGGCCACAGCCCCAGGAAGTGCCCTAGCAGGCCCACAGGCCTCCACAGTGGCTCAGGCAGGTCCCAACTGCACAAGTTTTCGCTCCCTCATGTTGGCCTTGGTTCCCGTGGCAGAACTTGCCTTCCCGCTGGACACTCACCTGCGCCTGAGCCCCTGGAGAAGCCCGGCTCCCTCCCCCTCTGCCCACAGCCACAGCAGCCTCCTCAGCAGTGACACCACTGCTCTGCTCCATTCTGCCCTACTCTGCTCCTCTAGCCACAGCTGCAATGCCTCTATCTCCACAAGAGCTTGTGGCCTGGAGGCACTGAAGGAAGAAGACCTTTGCACGTTTCCAAACCATGCCACAAATCCCCATCCATGTGTCTTCCCACATCGAAGAAACACCTGAGCATTCAGAAGCAAATTTAGAGCTTATTCACAGGGTGAGAACAAAGGGAAGCTTCCAGCACAGTGAAGGTTTTATTTATTATAGTATTTATTTTGCCTATTCGAATAAAGAGACTACGAACTATGAGCTATAATCTAGAAACTACAAACTACGAGCTATAATCTACAAACTACAAACTACAAACTGCAAACAACAACAATGGCCTCTTCCAGGGCTAGTATCTCCTGTTGGCCATAAACTGCTGCGTGGCCATGATCAGAGGCGTCAGCTCGGAGGTCGGCTTGGCTGATGTTACAAACGGATGCTGCCCAAAGAGAAAAAGAAAAACATGAACTTGTACTTTCCTCACAGGCTGAAACAGGCTTTCTCTG